GAGAGAGAGAGAGAGAGAGAGAGAGAGAGGGAGAGCTGTAGGCGGTTACATACCTGGCTGGAGTCTGAGTCTGTGTGAGCGGCAAAGACTGCAAGAGACATGAACATTTTGTTTGTATATAAAGATATTTTGAGTGCCCATCTCTCGTGCGATTCTTGTGTCTCGGCTATTGGTTCCCAGTGTGACCACTCGTCTGGATGCTCGTTGCATGTGTGTGTGAGGTTGAGGGTGATTGACTTGTGAATCATTGCACAGAAGGAAAAATGATTAAAAAATCAAAAATTACAAATTTGAAAACAAAGAAAAGAAACTTACCACCACCAACAGCAGAGCACCATACATGAAGGCAGTGAAAACTTTTCTTCTTTTTTATATATTTTTATTACTACTGTTTTATTTTTTTATTATTATAATATTTTATTATTGTAAGGACCTTCCCAAACACGGATTGAGAACACAGCTGATTTCTGAGTTTTGCCAATGGAATGAATGCCTTGCTGAGATTTTCGCTTTTCTGCTGAGTTTTCCAAGTCTGTGTGTGTGTGTGCTTGCTGGTCTGCGTGCCTGTCTGAGTGCTTGTCGGCTTGAGTGTGTGTGTGACCCACAAGAGTACTTGTTTGTTTGGGAGGCCCACCAGGGCCGGTACTTACCTGTGGCCGTGACTTTGTGGGTTGCAGCGGGGAAAACACGCCAGTAGCGGGAGTAGGCCCGCGACACTTAGAGCAGTGGGGAAAAACACTCTAGTAGAGGTACCCAGTACCATCCAAAGTAGTGGGAGATGTGTTGGGGACTGGAGGCCGAGCAGAAGAATACAAAAGTTGGCATTTTTAGAGGCCCAGTAGCGGTAGGCTAGGTCTAGGCGGGTACCAGTCCAAGTAGCCTGTAGTCTAGGGCCTGTGTAGACAATATCAGAGCCTGCAATGATGTTTCCCTCCGAAAGGGAGGAGGTACCGGTTGCTTGGAGGCCGTGCGGCCTGGAAGTCACCACCCAAGGAGGCTGCTGCCTATATCTCCAGGAAGAGCCCTCCTCATTTGCTGCGTGCAAGTTTGGGCGACACACTGCTGGAGCGCATGGTGGAGCAGCGCTGCTGAGGAAAGAGTACCCAGCTCTCCACCTTGGCTATGATGGAGGAGCTCGGGCAGGAGGAGAAGGAAGAAAGGACAGGGAGACGGGAGCGCCAGGGGTACTTACCTGGCTATGGTGGATGCCATCTTCATCACCTTGGTGGCTGCTGCATCTGGAAGGCCCCTGTTGGGGTAGAGCTACACCAAGAAGCTTCGAGGCAGAGTCAGGCATGGTGGCCTGAGTGGAATTTGCCATAGCTGCTTTGCGTCGTCTTTTGCACGTCAGGGCAAGGCCCTTAGTAGCCCGTCATAGCCTCGGCCTACGTGAAGAGGAAGGAGAAGGACGGCCGTGGCTATGGAGGACCTCACATTGTGCTGGCAGTCGACGAGGATTCGGACATTGATTCTAGTTCTGCCATTCATGATTATTATTATTACTTTTTGTTTGAATAAGAGGGAAGGAGAAAAGGAGGAGGAGTTTGGTTGGCAAGAAGACGTTCATTCATTTCTTTTCACAATTGGACGGCATTGTACTTTTTCGTGATTTTGCACGTCGAAATTGGCCAGGATCGTAATGTGACAATATATTAACAAATTAACAATATCGAATATTATACATCACAAGAAATTGAAAACTGGTTTAAGAAAAAACAAGAGGATGCCCGCCGCGACCGCGGCGGGGACCAAGAGGAGGGGAAAACGAAAAAAAACAAAATTGTAATTCCGCACTCTCTCTCTCTCTCTCTCTCTCTCTCTCTCTCTCTCTCTCTCTCTCTCTCTCTCTCTCTCTCTCTCTCTCTC